TTTCTCTTTCTTTCTTTCTTTCTTTCTTTCTTTCTTTCTTTCTTTCTTTCTTTCTTTTCTTTCTTTCCTTTCTTATTTATTTATTTATTTATTTATTTTCATTTCTTGTCCGGATAATTCAGGTTGATTTCTCCTGCAACATTTCGGTGGTATTCCTGTTACCTGAATGTCAAGTTAGTGGAAATTATACTCCGTCTAGTTTTTTATTCTGTTCCTTTGTGTCTTCATATTTGCTTTTCACTTGAGGAAGGCTATGCCTTGCTTTTAAGGAAGAGACATGCTCTCCTGCACTGGGGAAGGTGAAGGAAGCCTTGCTGAGAGTGAGGCAGAGGGTAGCGCTGGTGTGGAGGATGTGTGTTCTAGTCGGTTGGTTGGCGCTGCAGATGATCTGGTGATGTCACTTGGGGCTGCCCTGCTCTTGTATTCTGGGTTGTAAGTGTCTCTTACTGTCACGTAATGCATGTATCCTGTGGATGGAACTCCATGAATCCTTACCTTGGTGCCGAATCATGTTAGTCCTCAATCCGCCTGAATTCACAAACCAACCTGGCTTGCTCTGTCATCCCGCACACTGACACTAAACAGGTGACCTCCCCTAATGCTGTAATGGGATGGTTGCACCGTACTCCCTCACCGAAATACCGTATAACTTAATGTAAAAATATCATCAATGACAGATTAATCTGAAACTCTCTAAAATGTAACTAATCAGTAGAGTGTTCACATAGCACTTTCACTCTTGAAATACGTGTTTCAAGTATCCCCTCAGCTTTACATGCTCATTTACTACTATTCAAAATCTTTGTTAAGATAATGGCCCTAGATTATGTAAGAGACATAGGAACAGTTTCTATATACAATTTTGCATAACAGTAATAACATGTTTAATTTGAATTGTATTTTAAAAGTCCTGTCAGTACAAGAAAGTACACTGAAACAAGTAAGTGATATTGAAAACAAAGAGTTTTTAAATATTTGGAGGATATCTGCATCATTGATTTAATTATTTTAATTCATATTTATTTGCCATTAACTCATCTAACAGATACCATGATCGCTTTTCCTAAATTGTTGGCATCCAAGTACTACTTTGTTTGAGATCTTGGTTTCCTGAGGAGGTGCAAGCATTTGACATTTTGTAAACTGCCACAGTTGTATTACTTTGCAAGAATTCTGTAGTTGCTATGAGTACTATTTAATTAGGAAAAATCATGTGTTGTATTTAGTGATAAAATCTACATTATAGCAGAAGGGAGTAACTTTTAAGCAGAAACATACATGAATTAGAGCTATCTTTGTGGATAGTTATTTTTGCAGATTTTATCAACTGTTAGTTTTGTGTTTAAAGTTTTGAAAGGGATGTCAACATTGCAAGTAGTTCTAGATATAAAGTATTCTGCTTAGTACCTGAATATGTTTATTTTTTAAATAGTGTTTTCATGTCTCTCCTGAGATTCTATCAGCAAAACATTACTAAGTTTAAAATAACTCATGATCCAAATATATGTGATTGTACTTTGTCAACAGTAAACTATTTAAATATTAATCTTTATTACTAAATTTTGACTTTCTTAAAAGTGGAAGATATATTAGTTTTATGTTGTCTTACTTTTACAAATTAAGTTCTTAAGTATTCTAAAGTTTATATTGTGACTTCCAGCTACAGAAACTATAAAGCGTTGATCTTTTCTTCCTCCATATCATTTGTTAATCTCCTTCAAGATAATGTTAATGAGCATTATTTTATTTATGTGATGAAAATATTATATGAAGTGTTAGTGGTAAAGTACCTGTACACATGAGAAATTGACAAGAAGCTGCACACAGAATGAAAAAGTAGAAGGTATAAAATATAGATATGTTATTAACATGTTAGGATTGAGAAAGTTGAAACTAGGTAAACTTTGAGACTACTGATTTTGAACCCAAGTGTAATACAGTGTTCACAATATCATATTTTTCCATAACCACAAGTAATTGATTTTGTGTATATTTATAAAATATTTTTTATAAAGACATAAATTGTAAATGAGGAAGAAACATTTTATTCACTTGAAGAAAAGGCCTTTTTTTTTTTTTTTTTGACAAATGAGTGTGCCAAATGTCCTCAAGGCAAATCTAAACAGAATTTGGGGAAAAAATCAATTGGGTCAGGGGATTGGTTTTGTTGGGTCAGGGGATTGGAGTTTGTTGAGTAGACTGACTGGGAGTGTATACATGTGTGATTTTCCAGTACAATTAAAGGTGAAATGTAAGTACTAAGTATGAGGCAAACTCATCTATCAAGCTCTCTGCCTTTGGGTACAAAAGGATAAAAATAGTATTCTGGAAAATTAACATGGAACTTATTCCTCAGAGTGATACAGACTGGATTTTTAAATTTTTCATATTAGATTAAATATAAAGATATAATCTATGACTGGCTAGGTTTATTTTAATTGTGATTTACCTGCAGTGCGTCCTTGTCAAACTGCAGGATCCAGTCTGTCTGTGAGTACGGGCCATTAAACAGACCATGTACATTCACAAGACAGAAAAGCAGATTAAAGAATGAAGAGTATTGGTCATCTGTTGGACAGATATAACTTCCTGCTGCTTATTCTGCCTCAGAATTAATTTAGCACTCTAAGAATACTTTGGACAATCTAAACATTCTGTGTATACAGTTTGCAGACTATGTAAGTCTAGACCTGATTAACTCGAATTTACCACTTTTGGTATAAATCCCAACTTCCTAAGGGAGGAAAAATAATTTCGGCTTATGTTTTTTTTATCTTTAATAATATTCATGTAATATTAATACTGCTTTCCTTTTAAACTGTTCACATTATTGGAAAGTCACACTTGGCTCAATATAAAACTGAAATTATAAGAAATACAGATAATATAAAATTATGATCTATTTCAATAAAAAATAGGTGTAATAAATAGCCCAAGTATTCAAATTTCAAAATGTAATTAAAAGTATACCTTCCTTTGTTGTGGTTCATCCAAAGTATGGGGTATAGCAAAATGGATATTTTATAAATAAATGCAATATGGCAGTGCTTGTTAATAAAATGCCATACAATTGACCCAAATTAGCTATCCTTACAAACACACATGCTATTTAAATTGTATTTGTCCTTTGCAAAACATTTGAGACAATCTGAAATCATGCTATTTTCTTATTTTCAGTAGTTAATGAATGGAGATATTTTGTTTTGGAGATGCTGTATGTTAAATTTGACCATGAGTAATAACCAAAATACTAAAGTAGTTTATCACCAAATATTTTCAAAGATAAAAATATTTGTGCCATTACAATCATTAGTTTAGTCCATTTGCATTAGAAATCCTTCCTTCGGTAAGACCATACCTTTGCAATGTAATCCACAAGTATTCAGTTTCTGAGATGACTCTTGAATTTCAGATGGGCAATAGGAAATGCATAACAAAACAGACCAAGTACTGAATTATAACTTTGGTGAAGTAATAAAAGAATCTTATGACATATTTTCAACTTTTTTAACTTGGATCGGAAGGACCATTCGGTTAATACTTCTTTTTTTTTAATGATATGTTAATTTAACTCTTTTTTCTGTCTAAAGTCTATCCATTTAGTGGTTTAAAAAATGGTGGATTGGAAAGTTGTAATAATCCCAAGTAGAACAGGTATTATACCCTCATCATGGTGAAAAAGTTGTTCTTTTTAGAGTTAAATAATAGTTCTGTTTGTGGCCAGTTTCTTTGACAACTCTAAATATCCAGGATGAGTGCTACTTGTAAAAGTAGGTTGATCTATAAAATATACATGTTTAGTTAATCTAAATATATTGAAAATGGGACACTATATCCTGTAAGCTCTTATAAGCATTTCCACTTATACAGTAGGTACTTAATAAAAATTCATTGAATTTAAGGATGTTAAGTGATACTGTCTCTTCACTCTAATTCAACAGTGTTTAAATAATTGTACAATTTTCCATTTTGGGGGCATGAAGCCCTGAAAAGACATTCTAAGAGTTTGCATTGGGCTGATACAATAATCTTAAACATGTTAAAAATAAATTTCTGATAGTTTGACCTGCAGAGTTGTTAGTAGAAGAATGTAAGAATTAAATACTCTTTGACTTTGGATTATTTTTTACGGAAATGAATGATGTAACCCTACGTGACTGTCATTAGGTTTCTTTATTTTGAATTGATAGCAAAATTCTGTGTTGATTTGAAATAAGTCTTTAATGATCTTTCTCTTTTCCCCTTAATTTTCTATCATGAGATTATTGACAAAGATGATTCATATTCCTATAGTTTGTCCCTTTCTTAAGGGATAGGATGGTGCATAATTTGCATTGCTCTATTTTAAAATTTTCACAGGATTAAGCTTTCATAAAACTATTAGAAGAATTCCTTAAACTTTTTTTTTTTCAACCAGATTATGCCAAGTGTTGTTTATTTCCCAAAGAGGAAAAGTTTTACTTTGTGGCATTAGGAAATACTTAGAGATCTTATTTACAGAATTTTATTATTGTTCGGGAATTTAAAATGAAGACTAAATATAACACACCTTACGTTTTATGATGACACATACTTTTTAAACTGCTTTCATATACATGATTTTCTTTGACCTCAAACTAGTCTGAGAAGGAGACACTCTGAGAAGACCATCATTATTTTGGTAGTTAAGCCAGCTTTAGCTCAAAGGAGTCACTTGACTTGCCAGAGACCAGGTAGCTAATAAGCTG